ACTGCAGAGCACGCCACGGAGGCAGCCATCAGCGTCGGCGCCATGAACATCCATATTGGAATAAATATTGAAATAACCTAAGATTAATGAATGTTTAGAAGAATTTTTCATTGGCAGTTTGTTAACTAATGAATTAACTAATGTCAATTAATAGAGCCTATAATGTAAAGTGTGACCAAACAATAAAGAATCAAAACATGTTCAAACTATTTTTAGGGCATGTTGTAGTCCAGATTAAAATGTAAAAAAACATTTGAAAATAAATAGCCTATTAAGTCTAAATATTTAAGTACTTGCCACTGTGATGAACACCACTGCAAATACAAAAACTGAATGGCTGTTTAAACCATTTAAATACATTTGAGAAAGTAGTGTAGCTGCTTTATTTATGGGGTTTCCAGGGTGCATTTCTGCTGTTCAGCGCCATCTGCTGTCAGAGAGTGAATGTGCTTTCATTCAGAGCGTCTCCTTCACATGTTCTGCCATGCGCTTCTCATCTGTGCTTGTTTACATGGAAAAATATTCTTAAAATGCATTAAAAAAAATCAGAATAATTTGTAATAAATATTTATTCACGGTATTTTGAAGTGCCCACGATAACTATATTGTGCATATTCGTTATCGTGATGTATCGCATTACCGAATGCCGGTATAGGGTAATTGCAGTGGTTATCGCAATGCACCTTACACTCAACAGTTTAGGATGGGTCATGGAAAAAATCTTTGTCAACAGGAGCTGCTACTTCAAAACATAGTAAGTACAAGCATTCTTTGGAGTATAGCACCTTCCAAAACCTGGCTAAATCAGTGGTTCAGTGGATTGTCATTGAATGATGTTCTCTTTTGCGGTCCAGACCTCAATAATAGCTTGTGGTTCTCATGTGCTTCAAGACCTGAGCCAAATGCAATGATGACAGACACCCATCAGATGTTTCAGTTTCCTTGTGTTTGTAGAGAGACACTTGTGCTGGCGATGGTCTCAGGAGGGAGGAGCAGAAAATGGCAGAATTTCTGGCTGACGTTACTGCAATAGTAAATGCAAAATCACTAGCTTGTCTTCAGGTACAGAGCAACCTCTAATACTCACACTTGCCATGCTCCTTATGCAAAAGGTTGGTGCACATACTGTACCTCCAGGGCAGTTTGACGACAGTGATCGCTCCAGACACCAGTGCCAAGTCCAGCATCTGGCCAACGAAATTGATTATTGGTGCATCCCCTCATTCTTTATGCTAAATTATTGAAACCGATACTAGGTGTTTTTCTAGTCATTTATTTTTACTCTGTATACACAAGTATCAGTATTTCTATTTGTAGTTAACACCTGTGTGTCTTACTCTTTTATATCAGTTTGGACTGCTGATGCAATTATGTCCATGTGTTTTGTTTTATATTGTTTTGTCTTGTGTACCGCTTTAAATGAGCACAAATCATTTTTATTTCTTAAAAAATTGTGCG